AATAGAAATGCCCAATATGAACAAAAGACAGCAAATAATTGAGGAAAAAAGAACAAAATTAAAATGCATGAGTTTGTAATGATATAAATAAATGATTATTTCAATAAAAAAATGCAGGAGAAGAGACAAATTTCTTTTGCAGGAGAATTTAAATAATTATGTAGAATCTCATGAAAAGCATAAATCTCCACTCTTTAATGACTTTCTTAAAAAGACAACAGTACAGAAAGGGGCAGTGGAGAATGCAGTGGTGAAACTTGACAAACACTACCTTGACTGGATGATCAATGTCAGGGATAAATCACGGTATCTTACATACCCATTACATGATGTGACTGAAATGGTATGTTAATTCTATGGTTTTCCTCCAAAATGACAAGACCAATCTAATAAGAAAAGCGTAAGAAAAATTTCAGTAGCGGCATCCTACAAAATACACAACCAGTAACCTCAAAATTCAAAGTTTGAAAAATGTTACAGTCAAGAAGAGCCTAAGGAAATATGAAAATTAATTGTAATGTGTTACTGTGACTGGGATCCAGAACAGAAAATAGGTAAAGACCAAGGAAATGTGAATAAACCATGGTCATTAATTAGTAATAACCATCAATAATGGTTCATTAATTTTGGCAAAAATACTATATTAACATAAGATGTTAATACCAGGGGAAACTGGGTGTGAGTTATATGCAAATCTCTGACCTATCACCTCAACTTTTTGTAAATCCAAAAATAAAGTCTATTATAAAACAAACAAACAAAAAGCAGAGTCTCAAGGGGCTGTGGAACGATAACAAAAGATCTAACATATATGATATCAGGGTTCCAGATGGAAAACAGAATGGGGAAAGAACTAAAATGATACTTGAATAAGTCTGAAGACTCCCTTAAATCTGACAAGAAATATAAACCTACAAACTCATGCTGTTGAGCACATTCCAAATAGGATAAATCCAAAGAAATCCATTCCAAGACAAGACATAACCAAACCTCTGAAAATAAAAGACAAACAAAAAATACTGGAAGCAGTCAGGAAAAAATGTGACATATAGTCACCTATTTGGGAAAAGAGTTTGAATAGCAGTTTCATCAGAAACCATGAAGGCCAGAAGGAACTGATACAATATTTTTACATGCTGAAAGAAAAGAACTATTGATTCAGAATTCTCTATCTTGCATAAAATTACAGGGAATTGAAGACATTCTTAGATGAAGGAAAACTATCAGAATTTGTTACCAGCAGATTTACCCTGTAAGTATGGCTGAAAAAAATTATATCTAAATAAAAAGGGAATGATAATACAAGGAATCTTGGACATCAGGAAGGAAAAACACAGTAAGGAAAAAAAATATGAGTACATACAACACACTTTCTTTCTCCTACTGACCTCTCCAAATTAAGTTTGACCATGGAAGCAAAAATTACAGCACTGTCATGTGGCCTTAAATACAAGTAGAAGAAATATTTAAGATGATTATAAATGGGGGAGGGTAAGGCAGAGAAGAGGGTTTAAGATTGCTATACTTCACTTGAATGGTGAAATAACACCACCAGTAGGCTGTAATAATTACATACACACACACATATGCACACATTAAAATATACATATATATAAACACATACACATAGTATTGAATAGATTACCACTTATAGAAAGAAATGGCCTACAAGTACATGAAAAGATGCTCAATATCACTAAACATCAGGGAAATGCAAATAAAAACCACAATGAGATACCATTGTGATACCTCATTGTGATAACCACAATAGCGAAGAAGTGGAAGCAAACTAAATGTCCATTAACAGAAAAATGGCTTAAGAAAATGTGCTACATAGATACAATGGAATATGACTCAACTTTGAAACAGAAAGAACCTTGTCATATTCCACAACACTGATGAACCTTGAGGATATTATAGTAAGTGAAATAAGTCAAGTCATAGAAGGACAAACCTGCATGATTCTACTTATTATAAGATAAAATAGCCAAGCTCATAGAATGGTGGCTGCCAGGATCTAGTAAATGGGGAGTTGCTATTCACCAGGTATGAAGTTTCAGTTGTACTAGATGAGTAAGTTCTAGAGATCTTCTGTAAACACTGTGCCTGTAAGTTAACGATTATGCAAACTAAAAATGGTTAAGATTGTAAATTTTTTTTCTTTTTTCTTTTTTTAAAGATTTATTTATTTATGCATAAGAGCTGGTGTATAGGTCAGAGGTGTGGAGGGTGAGAGGATTCACCAGAGACAGAGTGGGGAACAGAACAGGTAGATGACCGAAGTACACTGCTGAGGAGAGCAGCGGGCGACTCAGGAGAGGTCTGTTGCACCATGTGGGTTGCTCCCTGGCCGGCCAGGGATCAAACTCATGCTGCAGAGGCTGAGGATTGCTTCAGAGTGTGATGCTTAATCCCTTGCGCCACCAGGGAGGCCAAAGATGGTAAATTTTAAGTTAAATGTACATGCACCAAAAAAACAGAGCTATCAACTATACAGCAGAAACTGATAGAATGAAAAGAGAAGGATACATACTACAATTATAGTTGGAGACTTGAATACCTCCTTCTTAACAACTAAGGGAACTGTACAAAAAAAAAGCAAGATTTTTTAGAATAACTCTACTCCATGATCACAACATTTATACAACACTTCTGTCTAAGAACAAAGTATACATCTTTCCAAGTTCTTGCAGAATATATATCAAGATAGAATATATGCTGGACCATAAAACAAACCTCAATTAATTTTAAAAAAGTGAAATCACACAGAATATGTTCTCTAACCACAATAGAGTCAAAATAAACAATAACTAAAAGATAACAGGAAAATTGCCAAACACTTCAAAGCAAAATAACATACTTTCAGATAATCCATGTATCAAGAGGAAGTCTCAAGGGAAAGAAGAAAGGGACTTATAACTGAATAAAAGTGAAAATATGCATATCAAAATAAAGCAGAGCTGAGAGAGATTTCTAGCACTAAAATGCATATAATGAAAGAGGAACAGTCTCAAATCAATATTCTAAACTCATACCTCAATTGCTTAGGAAAAGAAGAGCAAAATAAACCCTAAACAAGCAGAAAGAAATTAGTATTAGAACAGAAACCAATGAACGAAAAATGGGAAAATACGGAAAATCAAAGAAACATGAATAAAATCGATACACCTTGATACATAGACCAAAAGAGAGAAAAGACCATTATCAGGAAGGAAATGGGGGTTATTGCACTAAACCCTACACAAATCAAAATAACAAGAAAATGCTACTAACAACTAATTCTACATGCATAAATTGGACAACTTAAGTAAAAAGGACAATTTCTCCAAATTACAAACTAGCACCTCACCCGAAATGAGATAATCTGAGTAGCACTTTAAGTACTTAAGGAAACTAATTTTATAATTTAATAACTCCCCAAAAAAGAAGTCTCTAGGCCCAGATGTTTTCAGGAGAGAAGTATACCAAATGCTTAAAGATAAAAACCTTCCACAAAATCTCTTCCAGAAAACAGTACAGGGAATAATTCCCAATTCACATTAGGAAATCATAATTACCCTGACACCAAAGTGAGAAACAGTCAAAAAAATACACCTACAGAACATTATCTCTCATAATTATGCATACAAAAATCGTGACCGAAATATTAACAAATAGAATTCAACATATAAAAGTATATCATATTATTTCATCCATAAATATTACAGCATGTATCTCTAAAAGGTACTGTTTTTTAAAAATATAACATGAATCTGACTCTTGAAACCTGAGTAATTTTTTAAGATTTGAGCTATAATTAACATAATGAAAAACAGAAATCTTTATTTTTTTCAATTGAAATAACAATGCCTTATAACAATATACAAGTTTCAGGTGTTCATTACTAAGAATCAGTATGTGAAGCACATGGACCTTAAGGTGTTCTGATAAGTGTATGACCACCGCTCAAAAAAATAGAGCAGTTCCATGACCCAGATATTTCCCACATGCCCTTTTCTTTTTTTTTTTTTTTTTTTTTTTTTTGAAGATCTAAGAATGGCTTTATTTTTTTTTTTTTTTTTTAAATTAATATTTTATTTTATATAATTCTTACATCATTTTTCATTTTTGCATTTTCATTTTGTTATATTCCCATACAATTGCACCCCCCTTATTTTTTTTTTTTTTAAATATTAAATTTTATTTTATATTCCCCATACAATTGCAAACGCCCCATTCTGACCCCAATCCTTCACCCAAAAAGTGTCTCTGGTTCATAGTTTTTTGTTGATTTTGATTTTCACTTTCTTATATTCATTTCCTGGTCCCTTATTTAAGTTTTCTAGATTCCTGCTATGAGTGAGACCATCCGGTATTTTTCTTTTTCCTTATTTCGCTGAGCATGATCCTTCCAGTGCCATCCATGTTGCTGCAAATCACATGCCTTTTCTAATCAATGTCTCATACACAAATAACTACTTCCTCATCTCCATAACCATAGACCAGTTTTGTCTGGTCTTAGACTTTTAGAAATGGGATCACAGAGTATACAAAAAGGCTTCTAGGCCCAAAAGTGGAAAAGCATACCAGGTGGAAAGAACTTCATACACAAAATATAAAGGTATGAAGGTATATGATTACAAAATGCTGAAGGGCTCAAGAGGGTTGAAAACTGGGGTTGGTGACTGACAAAAGACAGAATTAGAAAAGGAAGCTCACTGGAAAGCTAAGGTCTTCAGATGAAACTCTATGTTAATTCTGAGCACCAACTGCTAAATAAATTTTTCCCTGACTTCAAAATTGGGTCAGTTCTCTCAATATGTCATTTCTCCTCAACACACTAGTTGAGTGAGACCAAAGCAGGGGCAACATCCTACACCCCATGTCCATTCACTCCCATCGTGTGCAGAGGTCTCTACTATCTCAGGGATGGAACAGCCCTACTTGGCTTTCTGATGAGAGGGCACCTATCCTATGACCCACGTTAAACAAACAGTCCCACGTCTGAGAGGCAGCCTTACCATTATCTGGATTTCTCTCTTGCACACCTGGAGATCATGCTCATTGTTAACAAACATGCGTTTCAAGGCACATTTCATTCCATTGCTTGTCCTCACCAAAAACACGATAGCAAATCCACCTGCGAGAGAAACACACATAATAAGTTCTTGAGTTGTGTTCAAAGAGTCAGTCCAATGACTAAGGAGGCAATAGGTTGTTGCTGTCACTGTTAAGGGTATTAACAGTATCATCAGCTGAGCCTAGGACAGTGATGGTTTAAAGGTGTTCTAAGGACTCAGGTATTATTTGTGGGATTGAGTGGCAAGAATCAAAAATTGTTTCTAAATATATATCTCAAGAAAAAGAACAGTAATCATATACCAAAGAATTTATAGATAAACATAAGAATAACAGGTTAAAAAAAAAAAATCAACTCCATTCCAACCACAGTTCAAGGCACTTTCAGCTCCTGTTAAATTCTCACTACAATCCTGTGAGGCTGGGTGTTATTTGACCCTTTAAGACAACAATGATTAGTTGAAGAAACAGAGGCTCAAAGAGATGAGATTCAATCAAGGATTTATTTATTTATTTTTAAAGATTTATTTATGCACACAATAACTGGGGTATAGGCCAGAGGTGAGAGGAGTGAGAGGATTCACCAGAGACAGAGTGGGGAACAGAATGGGCAGATCCACTGAAATTCACTGGTAAGGAGCAGCGGGCGAGACAGGAGAGGTCTATGTGAGTCACCTCCCTGGTCAGGGATCAAACTCATGCTGTGGGGGCTGCAGCTAGCTTCCTAGTGCTGTGCCTTAACCCCGTGCGGCACCAGGGAGGCCCCTCAATCAAAGATTTAACAAACAAAACACAGGTCTAGCACTTCAGCAGAGAGACTTGGAAATTATTATAGTAAATGTTATAAGAATAATTAGCAATTAATTTCTTCCTTTCTTATCCCTCCACATCCCATCACCCAAGTCAAATCTAACAATACACCTTGAGGATTTCTTCTGTCTTCCCTACTTCGTGGGCTGTTGAGAAGATACAAGACACAGGTATGGAAGTGCTACTCCACTCAATAGACAGAAACAAACTGACTTTGTTACTTGACAGACTTTTTTTTTTTTTACTTTTTTTATTTTTATATTTCCCATACAATTGCACCCCCCCTTATTTTGGCCCCAATCCCTCCTTTCTCTGTCTCCCCCCATAGTGTGTCTCTGGTTTATAGTTGTTTGTTGATTTTGATTTTTTCTTTCTTATAGTTATTCTTTTTCCTGGTCCCTTATTTACGTTTTCTAGATTCCTGCTATGAGTGAGGCCATCCAGTATTTTTCTTTTTCTTTCTGGCTTATTTCGCTGAGCATGATCCCTTCCAGCTCCATCTGTGTTGCTGCAAATTACATGAGTTTAATCTTTTTTAATTGCTGAGTAATATTCCATTGTGTATATGCACCACATTTTCTTGATCCGTGGGAGTGCAAACTGGTCCTGCCACTATGGAGAGCTGTGTGGAGATTCCTTAACCTACTAAAGATAGAGCTTCCATATGATCCATCAATTCCACTCCTAGGTATTTACCCAAAGGACACAGAAACATTAATTCCAAAGGGCACCTGCACCCCTATATTTATAGCAGCACTATTTACAATAGCTAAGCTTTGGAAACAACCCAAATGCCCAAAAATAGATGACTGGATCAAGATGTGGTACTTGACAGACTTTTTAAGGTACACAGTAACCTCTCTCAAAAAGACAGTTCAGTTCATTAACAGAAATGTATATAATAAACAAATTCTTAAGTGTTCTGAACTTATTACACTTTAGCATTCCACAAATTCTTATAATGCTTCACAACTCAACCTTACCCCCCCAAATATTGTATGAAGTGTTCTTTGTTATTGTTAACAGGGATTATAAAAAGATTCAACAATGCTGTCAAAAGTTGAAGGTTTTGGGATAGGCAAGAGTTAGTGTAGACATTTAGTCTACATACCTGCTTATATCTTTTCGTAATTTAGTTTGGACTATCCTGTACATTAATTCTGAGTGGCACACACATACATACACACAAAACTTGCTAGGCTCAACATAACTTATAAGAGAATGCAAATCAAAACCACAATGAGATGTCACCTAATCTCTTACCTACACCAGTAAGAATGGTCTACATTAAAAAAACTAACAACAAATGCTGGTGAGGATGTGAAGAAAAAGGAACCCTTTTATTTTGGTGGTAGGAATGCAAACTGGTCCAACCACTATGGAAAGCTGTGTGGAGTACCCTCAAATTACTAAAAATGGATCTACCATATGACCCAACAATTCCAGAGGTACGAGGGGTGAGCGGATTCTCCATCCAATGAAGGTGAATACAAAGGAATTGGACGGAGATGAATACAGAGGAACTCATCAGTATGGGAACTTGATTTGAGGTTATGGGGTAGTATTGGGACTAGCAGCCACATGCAAAATTAATGCAGACCAATAAGCAGTGATCATAGAGACCCAGGCCTGAGATCTACAAACAGAACTTTGATTCTGACTGCCCCACGCTAAATCATCTGAGGCCCAGCCACACTTCCGTACCTGCCTGTTGATGTTCATATCATTTCCTGTTATAGCTTTACAAAATTTTATTTCCATTTTTATTATATATTTTTACAATGTTGTTCCCTTTTGTTCTCCCCATAAAATTACCACCACCAAGACACCCATGAACCATCACCATAGACTCTTGTGCTCTTCCCTCCCATTTTGATCTCCTTAAATTTCTCTAATTTATAGTTTGCTTGCTAGTTTTGTCTTTTTTTCTCCTTCTGATCCCTTGGATAGAAAAGTTTCTCTATGTTCCTCTGTAGTGTCAGGAAGGGACACAGTGCAGGTTTCCTATGATTCAGCAGACTGGGTAAAGGAGGAGTCAGAGTCCTTAGTGGCTTTTGCAGGCCTTTTATTGGGGTTCACCAGGCATATGGCAGGCAGGGGTGCTGGGGGGCCAGGAGGCTGGCAGTCCTCCCAGCCCCCAGCAAATCCTCATTCTATCTAGGCTCTCTGGCGTTCTTTCTGCTTCTCTGCTCTTCTGTTCGTTCTGCTGCTTCTCGGCTTCTCTTTCAGCTTCTACTGGCGTCCCCGTGACGCCACCCTTAAAAAGCCCAGTCTCAGCCCAGGTGAATCCCATCTACCTATGCCCACACCCTATTCCAGGTGCCCGCCATCAGGCATGCATTCAGGACCACAAGGATCCATCTATCCTGATTGCGGGAGGGCAGAAAATCATGACATTTTTCCTTACCCTACATCCTCCTATAAGTGAAACCATCTGATATTTTTTCTTTTTCCTTTTGACTTAGTTCACTGAGAATAATCCCTTCCTGTTCCATCAACGTTCCTGCAATTGGCATAAATTTATCTTTTTTGATTGCCGAGTAGTATTCCATCATGTATATATACCACATCTTCTTGATCCAGTCATCTGATGTTGGACATTTAGGTTATTTCCATATTTAAGCTACTGTAAATAGTACTGCAATGAACACAGGAGTGCAAGTATAGGGTAAGGTAAAGAAGTATCAGGCTTTTGTGCCCTCCCGCCATTAGGAATGATGATAAATCCCTGCGGTCCTGAATGCATGCCTGATGGTGGGCACCTGGAGTAGGTTGTGGGCGTGCATAAGTGGGTACAGATGGGCTAAGACTGGGCTTATAAGGGCGGCTTCACAGGGATGCCAAGAGAGCAGAGAAGCAGAGATAACCAGAGACTGCTGGAGCTCAGATAACAGTGAAGGCTTGCTGGGGGCGGAGAGGCCTGCCAGCCTCCTGGTCCCCCAGCACCCTTGCCTGCTATGTACCCCGTAAAATCCCAATAAAAGCCTGAGAAGCCACTGAGGGCTCCAGGATTCCTCCTTCACCCGTGTAGAGGGCAGGAATGGACACTGAGCAGGTTTTCTAGGATCCAGCAGACCAGGCAAAGGAGGAGTCCTGGAGTCCTCAGGGTTTTTGCAGGTTTTTATTGGGATCACCAGGTACACAGCAGGCAGGGGCGCTGGCGGGGTCGGGAGGCTGGCAGGCCTCCCAGCCCCCAGCAGGTCTTCACTCTGGGCTCTCCGGCCTTCTCTCGGCTTCTGCTGCTGCTGTTGGCATCCCCGTGACGCCGCCCTTAAAAGGCCAGTCTCTCAGCCCAGGTGTACCCACTTCAGGTGCCCGCCATCAGACATGCATTCAGGACCACAGGGTTCCCTCATCTATCCTAATGGCAGGAGGGCAGAAAAGCCTGATACCTTTTACCTACCCTACAACCCGTCTTCTGGAATCAGAAAATCTGCACTGTGCCCTTCCTGCCACTACATTTGGCGTAAGTCGGCAAGATAATCTGAAGCAGACGAGTATGGAGCCCTCCGAAGACCTCAGGAGGCACTGAGGAGTAGCAGATTGAGCCTGTGACAGCGCTAGAGGCACCATGGTAGCACAGAAGGTGGACATGGTCCGGGAGCTACAGGACGAGACCTTGCCTGGAGGAGGAGATGGCCTGCGAGGACCAGCCAATGACCTCTGAAGCAGCAGAATCATTGGGGAAGAAAGGACCATGATTCATAGCTTGACCAGTGCCGATGCCAAGAAACTGATGGACTTGGACTAATGGACTTGGACTGACAATCCCGCCAGAAGGCAGAGAAACTTTGGCAAGTTAATGTTGCTTTGGGGACCCTGGGGGTGGATGGTTTTGTTTGTAAACCCCAGGAGATAAAAATCAAGGCATGGCTGGTGGGCCTTGGTAGAAGAGCCCACAGTTGGCTGAGGGAGGAAGCCCTCGCCAAGTTCTCTGCAGCCAGGCAGAGAAAAAGCCAACTTAGAAAAGCAAAAGTTGGTGCTAAGATTGAGAAGCCCTGAGCAGCTGTTAAGCAGCCTGAATATGCTGAAGAAGGCCAGTGAGTCTCTTAAAATCACCTATGGGTGATGCCCTGTTCATTGTTGAGTGAGGGTGAGGAGCTGAGGAACCCGCTCTTGGGGGACGGGTGGGGAATGTGGCTTGTGGTGGAGCCCACAGCCAAAAAGGGGACCCAAGAGAGGCCGCATGTGGAGCCTGTATCCATGGATCCCCAACCCATGTGCTTGTGCAGAGGGTTGGCCTGAGTGCAG